ACAAAGAGGAACTGATGAACAGCAACAAAATGATCTGAAGAGTCTGAAACTCCAGTTTGTAGCCAATGGAAATAATACTGTGGACCTAAATATCTGAAATTTCCTGGAACCCAAAAAGGCCAACAAGTGGGAGTGCCCCTCCACTGAGAAAAGGGATTGGAGCCAGACTTGGCTTAGAGGATCAGGTCTTGAAAAGAATGTGTTTTCTAGACTTAGGCTTAAAGCTGGAAGCCTGAGAGGGATGAAAGGAGCTTTTCCTAGTCTCAGGAGTAGAAGGTCTACCTGGAAGTGAGAGCCTTTTTTTTGGGGGGGGGGGGGAGTGGCTTGAGAGTACTATTACCCCCTGTGATTGGAGGGATCCTTTAAGATGAAACTAGGGTCTCAGGCCATATGTCTAGTTCAGACAGCAAGGGTCTAGCGGACTGCAACTAAAGGAAATGCAAGTTGCATGGTGGGGTCAGCCAAGGAAAAGGGGCTATAGAGCGCACCTCTAACCTCTTGTCCACTGGATCCTTGAGCACATGATTATCCTCTAGAGGTATCTTTCACTTATTTGGAGAAGAGGTGGCAGGGTCCAACATTTTTGCATGAAGCTCTTCTCAATAGGATATTGCTTTGGAGGAGCATATAATGTTTGAAGGTTTGGTCAGTCACTGTAAAGGACAGGCTCCACTAGGAAGGTCTTAGCAGGTTTGAACAAGGTATAGGGAATCCATGTGTGTGACCTTGGGGTGAATACACTCAGCTCTAATGCTAAAAAGAGAACATAGGAATGCAACTCATGCTGATCTCATTCCCCATGAGGAAAAAGGAGAGTCAAAATGAGTCAACACCTCCATTTGGCTTGGGAACTATGAACAGGTAGAAACCAGTAGAAACCGTGTACCTCCCACTCAGAAAGCTTGTCTGTAGCAAAAGTCAGAGACCAACTCTCAGGAGGGAAGACTGAAGGGGTCCCTGTTATTGACAGCCTCTAAAAGGACTGAAATTCTGAAATCAGGGTTTGTGGCAGAAAATTCATCCCTAGATACGTAGGAAAAAGGCTGTGCAGGCAAAAGTACAGTGGAGTGCCCAGAGGAAGACAGAGAGTCAGATTGAGGGCAAATGTCTGAGCAGAGGGTACTAGGTCCCTGCAGATAGGGAAGAAGGGTAGGGTGTGCTGTTCACTCTGCTATTCATATGTGCGGTGTCATTATGTCAAAATCAAGGGAGCTCTCAAAGGCAAGGGATTTCAGAAGACTGGCAAATCATTTGAAATCAAATTGTATTGATAATCTACAAATTGTGTCAATATTAAATGACAGCTACTTTGTATAGAACTGAACATCCCAGCAAATTCGGACCAAGAGCTGTTTGCTTGATGCTAAGAGAGCAACTAACTGAATTCCCCCAGTGTTCACAAGGTGATCCTGAGATTGGCTGCCAGATTTTGATGTGAAGCAGCATGTAGCCGGAGATTGATCATGCAGATACTGGTGGCCAGTAACTCTCTCCTAATACAGCAATTAGCTTCTCTATATAGATTCACACAGGGAATTTTGAGACCATTCAAGGTTCTTCTTTTAACTGAAGCCCTAAAGGGAGAGTTTTTTTTCTGACCCTTAAAAAGTGTTGGCTGTTTTTAATGTAAACAAATAAATGAGTTTGGACTCTCCTTTGGTCTGTCCTTCCATTGGTGCATGTCTTTTTCAGGTCACTGGGAAGACAGCAGGGGGCCCACATATCATCCAAAGAATCATGGTACCCTTGCAGCTGCTAAGGAGATCCCAGTGAATTAACACCTTAGAGGGGAACCAGTAGGCACTGTAGGCATGTGCCTACAAGTTCCCTTGCTGGGGGGGGGGGGGGGGGGTGCCCATCTGTATGACCATGGGATGATCTTGTAGCGACCCTAATCACCCCCATGCGCTGGGATTTCTTCTAGCAGACATGCCAGGATTCAGTCTGGCATCATCTCTGCTAAATATACACCAGTGGCATCCGGCAGCAGTTGTTCTGCAAGTGGAAGGATATTTTGTGAAAAATCCAATTCCTGTGTGAGAAGTTAGTGCAGCCAAGGACTTCAGGAGGCAGGCAGGCTGGCAGCATTTTCCGTTGCACCCACTCTAGTTCCAGAGGCAGATCCCTTACAGTAGGCAACGGAGCTGCCCTCTGGTGTTTCTCCTGCCTTCATGGGACAGGAGCGGAGCAGAGGACAGCGGCAGGCAGGTCAGCAGCAAATGAGAGCAGTTGAGCAGACTTTGACTCATAAAAGAAAATGATAATGTAAAAAAGGCAACAATTTATGAAAAAAACGGCCCAAAGAGATTCAACTCCAACCTCCAACATTCTTAGGAGCCACAAGTGATGCTGTAAGTGAAATGTGCATTTGGTGAGTTTGAGCTCCATGAAGTGTTGGAGGCTGGGACTCAGGTAAGCAGGCAAAAGAAACAAAGGGATCTTAGTAAAAAGATAAGATAGTAAAAAACAGCACACATTAACACTTGTTAGGCACACACTTAACCCTTTGATTGCCTTGAGATATTAACCCCTTCCCAGCCAGTGTCATTAGTACAGTGACAGTGTAGACGCTATTTATCTCACACAAACCAATTATTATACTCTTATTGGAATTTATTTTTTTTTTACCAAAGACGTGTAGCAGAATACATTTTGGCCTAAATTTATAAAGAAGTTGATTTTTTATTTTTTTTTTATTGGATATGTTTTATAGCAGAAAGTAAAAAAATATTGTTTTTTTTTTAATTTTTGGTCTTTTTGTTTATATAATAAAAAAATAAAAAAAACAGTGGTGATCAAATACCACCAAAAGAAAGCTATATTTGTGTGAAAAAAATTACATGAATTTCATTTGGGTACAGTGCTGCATGACTGAGCAGTTGCCAGTTAAAGTAGCGCAGTGCCGAATAGCAAACAATTGTCTGGTCCAGAGGTGTGTACATTTGAAAAAAAATACTTATCCAAGGGACTAAATCGGGATCCCACTCTACTTGTCCCTCATGACTACTTGTCCTGATAAAAAACCCAAACTGTATTTAAATCTGAGGTGCTTTAGGAATGTCTGGGGCTTTTAAAAATAAAAGGGGCTTTATGGCGACTTAAACGTTTAATGTTTTTAACATTGCGCTGTTTATCTCTCAGGGGAGAGACCTTGCAGTGCGATGAGCATCAATTGGGTGCTCGTCTGAAAAGGGGAGTATCGAGATCTCTTGACGCTCAGCAGAAGCGCATCTGCTGAGCGAGTAAATAAGGCACCGGCCCAATGAGAAAAAAAAAATTTGTGTGTGTTCCACCTTTACCGGGGTGTGTGAAAGCATTCCACCTGGCAAGTAAACCCTTCTACTTGCCCACAACAAGGCTAGATGTTAAAAAAACTACCTGCCCAGCACCCGGTACTGCATGTCTCGAGTGTTGGGTGATATAAATTGTACATCCCTGTGGTCATGAAAGGGGTAAAACCTTCCGAAGCTCAAGAGGTTAATAAAGTCTAATTAATGACATAAGTTATATCTATTTGAACAATTTTAACTGAATATGCTATGTCCAGAAATGTACATTAAATAGCATAATTACTAAAGTGCAAGTATCTTATGGTGCCTACAACTTCACTATATTGCCAAAAGTATTAGGCCTTTACACGCACATGAACTTTAATGTCATCCCAGTCTTGGTCTGTAAGGTTCCATATTGAGTTGGCCCACCCTTTGCAGCTATAACGGCTACAACTCTTCTGGGACGGCTGGCCACAAGCTTTAGGAGAGTCCATGGGAATGTTTGACCATTCTTCCAGAAGCGCATTTGGGAGGTCAGGCACTGATGTCGGACGAGAAGTCCTGGTTTGCAGTCTCCGCTCTAATTCATCCCAAAGGTGTTCTGTTGATTTGAGTCATAGTCACTGTATGCCTTCCAGCTGATGTACTTCTATCCACTATTTCTGCCAAGAGCTGGTTTCCTGGCTGCTGTCAGCACTAGGGTTATCGCAGCTCTTTTCCTGGATACACTAATACCCTATCATGCAATATGCCTTTTGTGATGTACTCCTTTGGGCACTAAAAAGATGTTGAAGTCTAAAAAGACTTTTCCTTGCACGCACAAATTAACTGTGCTATGCTTAAGGATTGGCTGAATTTATGAAAACTTATGAAAAACTAAAAAAAATGGTCTGTTCCAGTGATGGATCCTGCCATTTCTGTTCTCAAGAAGCATCCCACCATTCCTGTTGAGAATGTTCCCTCCCCTGAGGGTTCTGTTGATAGACACTTTAAAAGCCTATTGAATGCAACAATTGCTCTCGCTGGTCCTGCCTTACTATCAGCCATTGCGGCTATGTCCATTTGTCAACCTGTTGCTAACTGGTCTGGACAAAAAAAAGAGAACATGATCTTGTCTTTGAGGACCTTATTCTGCTGGACCAGTTGCAGATGTACGTTTTCTTTGGCTTTTCAGCATCAAGTATCCATTTCAAAGGTTTGCAAGGCCGCCAGCTAGTGTTCTGTTACTACTTTTTCAATTTTTACTAGGTTGTCCAAGTTCGGCCACAAGATACTTCAAGCTGTCATCTGTGTTTAGGATCGATCATTCCTTTTGTGGGCATGTTTGCTATGTTGTTGCACACTCCTCAGTGTCTTGTATGGTACAATTAAGGTAATGGTAATTTTGACTTACCAGTACATTCCACAACTCGGAGTAACAGAGGACAGAGGGCACAGGTTCCACCCCTTCGGTTCTCTGTTACACCTTACTGCTTGCTACAAAACAGGAGTCCAATGCAGTGGGCAGGGTTTATATAAGGGTACGCTGGGAGTGTTCCCAGAAAATCTTTTGCCATTGTCCAATCACCTGAGGTTAGCATCATATAACCCACGATCTACAACATTCTGTTCTATGTCATGTGCTGTACTCCAAGATAAAAACTTTTGTGGCAAGTCAACATTCCCCATTTGTAATAAAATGTCTTTTTGGTAAAATTGTACTTTCTGATTATTCTACTCTATTTGCAGGTATGAACGTTTGGAAGAGCAGCTTAATGATTTAACAGAATTACATCAGAATGAGATGACTCTGCTTAAACAGGAGTTAGCCAGCATGGAGGAGAAAGTTGCTTATCAGTCATATGAACGTGCCAGAGATATTCAGGTAAAAAATGGTCTAAAAAAAATAGATGTCTTAACACTTTGATAATGGTATGTACTGGTATGTACCCTTTTTACTATTTTATGCATTTGTATTATTAACCTATAAATTTTTGTAAATGCTTTTATAGTCTTTATTTTCCAGTGCTCTTCGTGGGGCCATAATCATTTTTTTTACAGTGTGAGTAGAGCTGCTTGCTATAGTAGGTTGTAAACTAGGCAATACATATAGCCCATCTACTGGCTATACCACAGCATGTACTAAACTATTTCAGTTTGCCTTAGTACCCTGGGGTGGCAGGCTCAGTAGTTCCTGATCTAGGACCTGGGGTTTAGTTTTCATCTGCAGTCTAGTGTCTGTGCTGCAAAGGCTTTGGGGGTGGTGCCTTGCATTTTTATAATCAGGGCTCTGTTTCCTTTTTTTTACCTTTATAGAAATGTCAAAAAGTGTCATTTAATTTGTTTCTGTGCACCGTAGCTCAGCTACAGTGGATAAAGAACGCAGGCAGGGTGCAATGTAGAGCTGCAAAGTGGTGCAGAAAAATGCAGACATGTTGCAGTTTTTCGCACTGTTCTGCCCTGCAGCACATAGAGTGGATCACACAGAAAACCCTTGTTTTTTGTGTGCCCTCGCAGAGAGCTGCGTTTTTTCTTCTACAAAAAAATGCAGGTCTCTGCACAAGTGTAAACCGACCCTAAAGCTGAAGAAGTCCAAACTATTGACCTATTAATCTCACCATATGATTATCAACATACTGTATCTTCCACTGCTTGGAATGCCAAGGAACAGCTTTCTCAGAACTTCACATTCTTGAAGTGGGAAACTGACAGGTGTGGACTTTTTTAGTGGGCAGCACTCTCACCTTTGTCAACAGTTGGTAACACAGGACGTGGATCTAATGACGTCCCATCACAATTGAATGGTTTCAATGTTTATAGTCAGAGAAAGAGACCCACTGCCAGGCTTATTAGATCCTCTGGTTACAAAGACAAGATTTTAGCCTAGGCCAAATAATCTACAGTATGTCCTGTCCATGGCAACTGGGGGAGTCAACTGGTTGCCATGGTCACTTCAAAAACCTTTTACCTTTTGGCCTGGCTGCCTGCTTGCTGTTAGAAATAGGCTCATAGAGCCTATTGTTGATCAGACCACCACTCTCAACCTTAGCTGTGAAATACAGTTTGAATGAGAGCTGTCTGTCTTCAGTTTAAGAATAAGTATTCTGTTGTCTGGCGGGCTGCTGAGTCTGAGGTCTGCTGTGTGCAAGGTACATTTAATAAAATATTTCATATGATTATTACAACATATAATTAAATAAAATGTTATAGGTTATAATTTATAGAAGTATGAATAGCTCATAATATGCTGCAACAAGCCATATGCTCTCTTCCAGGGCTTTTGTTTGTCAGAGAATAGGTGCAGGAACTCGTGGACTTTGATGACCCCCCATCCCCTTTGTGGCCCATAGGGTAGAATAGCAATGTGGTGTGTTGTGTGTGCAGTGTCATATGGTGCGTTTGGCCACTAACAGTAGTAGGGTTTTAAAGAGGCATAGGTAAATAAAAGTGTGTAACTCACAGAGTGGCAGGGTTTAGGGGTGCTTTACGCACGGGGTGCAAGGTTCAGGAGTGTATAACACAGAGTAGAAGGGTTCAGGAGTGTATCACACACAGGGTTCAAGAGTGCATTATATGCATGGTACAAGGTTCAGGACTGTCTTATGGACCAGTTTCAGGATGCAGGAGTGTGTTATGCACAGACAGCAGGGTTCAGAGGTGCATTACGCACTGTGACTTCAGGACTGCACTATGAAGGGTACAGGAGTGCACTGCGCACAGACTACAGGGTTCAGGAGTGCACTTCATGAGTGCAGTACATGGAAAGTGCAGGGTTCAGGAGTGTGCTACTTATGGAATGCAAAGTTAAGGCCGTGTCTCCACCACTTGTTAGAACTAAGCCACATATACTATCTAAGAGGTTAATGAAACAGTCAAAAAGACATAACTATTAATACAGTTATGTAGATAACTGGCTGTATCAAGGTGCTAGGCAAACTCAAAGCTGAATAGCCAATGAGTCCCAGTATACAGTCAGGTCCATAAATATTGGGACATCGACACAATTCTAACATTTTTGGCTCTATAAACCACCATGATGGATTTGAAATGAAACAAACAAGACGTGCTTTAACTGCAGACTGTCAGCTTTCCAACCAAAGAGTTTTTTAAGGGAAAGAAGTGGAATGTTATGCAATGGCCACGTCAATCACCTGACCTGAATCCGATTGAGCATGCATTTCACTTGCTGAAGACAAAACTGAAGAGAAAATGCCCCAAGAACAAGCAGGAACTGAAGACAGTTGCAGTAGAGGCCTGGCATAGCATCACCAGGATGAAACCCAGCGTCTGGTGATGTCTATGCATTCCAGACTTCAGGCTGTAATTGACTGCAAAGGATTTGCATCCAAGTATTAAAAAGTGAAAGTTTGATTTATGATTATTATTCTGTCCCATTACTTTTTGTCCCTTAACAAGTGGGAGGCACATATGCAAACTGTTGTAATTTCTACACCGTTCATCTGATTTGGATATACCCTCAAATTAAAGCTGAAAGTCTGCAGTTAAAGCACATCTTGTTCGTTTAATTTCAAATCCATTGTGGTGGTGTATAGAGCCAAAAATTTTAGAATTGTGTTGATGTCCCAATATTTATGGACCTGACTGTATGTACATTATAACCTCAATGGCACTATCAATGACCAAAGTAGCAGGTCAAGAGGTCCAAATGGCACATATGGGTCTAAATATATTAGAGCAGTCTATAAAAAAATTGCCAGATGGCTGTCATTATCAGTATTATATACACATATTCCAATCTGAAAACCATAGATATAGATAACAAAAACTGTCTACTGTGGTTCTGTGCTGGAAAATGGGCTAAATCAAAACACGTGAAAAAACTCAAATAATGATTTTAGTTGTATGCATGCAACCACCCAGATTTTACAGCCTCATGCTAAATGGTGCTGTTCTGAACCAACATCAGGTATAGAAATAATTAATAAGATATAAGATAGGTCATCGCAGATTCATATGAATAATGAAGCATTTCTCTTTGTAAAGGCCATTGGATGGCAGATTCTATAAATCAAGATTGTATGCGGTTTAGATATGAATATTTGAGTATACACTCATTCTCAAGTACAAAAGCACTTGTGCGTCTCCATGGAGGAATTAAAGTAGATCCACAAGTGTCTTGATTCAAATAAATGTGAGGCTTGGCATTCAAAACCCAAAATCAACTAAATGGAGTCCCCTCATATATTGCCACATATCCTATCATGTAAGGGATTTAATAAACTGTATGTCCTCCAGTAGTTATATACAAGTTTAATTAGCCATATATATGGCCATCTGTATGACTATATAGAAATAATCAATGAGTACACCTAACAGGAGGTCCTAAAGCTCCCAGGATCATAAATTAGATGGTGTTCCAAACATGTAAATCTCACAGTACACAGGCATGAAGCACCCTGGTGTCAAACAGGTCAAGTATGTCAAATCCAAAGATATATTCCAAAACATGTATTCAGTAAAGTGTTAAAGAAAAAAAACCCTTTGATACTTCATCCAACCTAGTGAGCAGTAGACAGAATGAGGGTCATCCAGGGAAGAGCCGACAAATTACAGTGTTAATAAAAGACTTGTATTACATCTCATGTGTCTGTTGCAAAAAGTGGCTAGCGAGATGCACTGCAGAGCGTGATCTGTTTCATTGTTAATATGAACGATTTTCTCAAGTGCCTTAATCCCTTAGTAGGTGTTCTAATCCCCATCCACGTTATGCAAAACTTTAAAAAAAAAGCGTTTTGCCTTTAGTTATACACTCACCGGCCACTTTATTAAGTACACCTGTTCAATTGCTTAGAACCCCAAATTGCTAATCAGCCAATCACATGGCAGCAACTCAATGCATTTAGGCATCTAGATGTGGTGAAGACGACTTGCTGAAGTTCAAACCGAGCATCAGAATAGAGAAGAAAGGTGATTTAAGTGACTTTGAACGTGGCATGATTGTTGGGGCCAGACGGGCTGGTCTGAGATTTTCACATACAACCATATCTAGGGTTGACAGAGAATGGTCTGTAAAAGAGAAAATATCCAGTAACCGGCACTTGAGTGGACAAAAATGTCTTATTGATGACAGAGGAAAATGGGCATTCGATTTCAGCTGCATTATTCAGATGGTAGGGTCAGAATTTGGCATAAACAGTATGAAAGCATGGATCCATCCAGTTTAGGCTGGTGGTGGCAGTGTAATAGTGTAGGGGATAATTTCTTTGCACTAGCAAGGTGTACCTAATAAAGGTGCCAGTGTGTGTACTTTAAATGTACCACGATAGTGAACTGGTTAATTCAGCTACACGGGCTGAAGAATCATCAGCATCCAAAACACTTCTAGGAATGCCAGATCCCAAATCCCCAAGTTTGCTCTGTGACGCCACCCTCCAGCCTGTAGGTCACTACCAGTGGATAAATCCACAGAGAACACCAAGGGACCAGGCATTCAATACTCCTGGAACATTCTTTGGCTAGCATATGTCAGGGATCCCGGCCGCTCGGAGGTGCACGCATGCGCAGATTGCCGACACGCACTAGCCGGCGAGCACTGAGACTTAGGCGGCCGTGCAGGTGCACTAGTGATAGCGAGTGCGCGCCTGTCACCAATGAGAGCACAGAGCCCTGATCCTGATACTGTTGTCCTCTCCTGCTCTGACCCTTGGCTCATCCTGACCATTCTCTGTCTGATTTCCTATTGCCTGACCTCCTGTTGCTGAACCCAGCTTGTGTCCTGATTATTCTTTGCCTGCCATTCTGTACTGTCTGCTCCGCTGTTACCAACCCGGCCTGTCTGACTCCGTTATACCTCTTCACATCTGGCTCTTACCTGCTATACACCATTGGCGGCTGCCTTTACCACAGCTGGTGTTACTCGGGGGT